ATATTGATCATAATTATTTATGATTTCTACCATTTTTGAGTGTCTTCATAATTCTGTCGGTGTAAAAAATCAGCAAAAAATTTATCAGTAAAAAAATGTAGGCCATAGATTTTCAAAGGCTATTCAGGAAACCAATTTTTTACCATTAAGAGAGTTTTGCAGAGACCGTAATAAATGATAATCAGATGTTGCAAGATTCGGGCTATATGGTGGAAACATCAAAACTTACCACCAATTTCCGTACATTTGTTTCAAGTCAAAAAGGTTGTGTGTGAACTTGTATTGGCACGATGGAATACAACATCAAACAACAAATTCAATTTTATTGTCCAAATCTAGTGGCTTCCTTGATTCTTCCGGTTGATGAAAGAACTCCAACACGTAGCTCGTAATAAACAATTCCTTTCCTATCTGACTGAAAATCGTTTGGCATCTCAGACTTTGAAGTTGGTTATTAAGGGCCAACGATCTTTGAGCATGTACATTTCCATTAAATATTTTCATATTTATTCATTTTATATTTTTATATCCATTTTTTATCGTCCACAGTGATTTGCTTCAAAAAAGATTCGATTTTTCAGCAACTTTTCACTGAAATGCAGACTTCAATAACACCTTTAGAGACTATGCATTCCTTTTTTAACAATTTTGCCAATATAATCCAATTTTTAAGCATTTATTTTTCATAAAATTTATTTATTAATATTATAAACATATATAATATATATATAATATATAATTCGAATATAATTTATTGGCATATAATAGTTATCCCATAGCCTTCCGACACTATGCAATATTTAATAAAACATAGTTAATTCTCAGTGACTACCGTCATATAAAATTATTTAAGTTTTAAATTCAATTTAAATTTATTTGGAGTATTTAAATAAATATAATTCATTTTTTTTTGTCAACTCTATTCACAACTCATTTGAATCGCGTATACATTTAACCACATCTTACGTCCCTGTGACAACATTTGGGATGAGGTTGACTGTAATCATAGTCATCCATTTTACAATTTGATGGCACATTAACTGGACCACAACCGGTTATATCTCCAAGTCCATCTTCATCATAGCATGCGTATTCTTTACATTCGAATAGCGGTTGAATTTTTTGCCCAGGGGACAATATGTGACCTTCAATTACGCATTTACCTGGATGTTCTAAATTTATGAAAATATGTATTTATATTTAGATGTGATGTGTTTGTATAAAAGAAATTTAACTTACTTGGATCAGAATAATCTTTTACATACCAATCACCATTAACTGTTTCTGATAAAAAAAGAAATAAAATTATACCGTATAGCAAAAACTTCATCTCATTCCACTTCTATTAACGTAGCAATCGGCATCAACTGAATTTCTGGCAAAAATTTTTGATTATCAATTAATTTATATTAAGATAACCCTTCCTAGTGCATCTAGAAACAATAAAAATGCATAAAGAAATACAAAATTCAGTGCTTAAATACAGTGTAATCTCTATTATCTGGAATGATCGGTACCGTAAGCCAGTGGCGGAGCTAGACCAACTCTGGACATCGACGACATTAGAATTGAGAGGCCCCCTTTATAACCCAGTTGTAAAACTAAATAAGTTACATTCACTAATATGACAAAGCATGATTGAAAGTTTTATTGCTAATCTTTTACTTTTAGCTTCACATCATTTTTTTTTAAATTATATCATAATTTGCGCCAGCTGCTATTTTCGCTTGAGTTTATAGAATTTCGAATGGAGATAGTCTCTCTTGAATCATCATAATTTTCTAGTACGTCTTAATCAATTTTAAATTTGAAAAGCTTCTTTCCGTCGAAGCTATACTGACTGGAACTGTGAACATGAATCTGGTTACTATATAAACATTCGAAAATATTTGAATATGGTTAATGCCATTATCAAACCAAATTGTTCAAAATATTTACTTAGTTCTTAGAATCCACAGTCGGTAACTTTTTGGGGGCCTCTGTGGGCGCGAGGCCGTCGGCGGTCGCCGACATCGCTTAGGCATCGCCTAGCGACGCCTCTGCCGTAAGCCTTTCTGATACTTCTGTTATTTGAGGTAAAAATGCAATATGTTCTTTATTATTATGTATTAAAAAGAGATAAAATGAAACAACAATAAACCAAACTAAAAAATGTGAAACAGTAAATTACTCTCGCAGATGTATCTTATGTTAGGGTGTGCGCCACACATCTCCGCACCTTAGAGCAGTAGTCACTGGGTGAATCAGAATAGAAATCATTACTAGATGACTTAGACTAAATGGTCGAATAAAATTTAAAGTAAACTTTTGATACCATACCATTTGGAATTAAAAAGTAAACGCCAAAGATACATAAAATTAGAAGAGTTCTCTCCGAGAGACCGAATCTGATCTATATCTGTAACGACAAATATTAATATTGATTTAACATTAATTGTTTGACTTAATTTATCGATATAGCACTGTGTCTATACTGTACTATACTATACATCAGCGAGCTTATCTCTGCACTTTGACTATAAAAACTATGTTATCAAATATATAATCAATTTGAAGCAATAAAAAAGTAATACCTATTGTACTTATTGACATTGAAGATGTTTTTTGTCATTATCAAGGTCAATTAATATAAACAGAGTAATATTATTATTTAACATCAGTATTAAATAAAATCAAAAATAATGAGTATTTTTAAACTATATGTTTGAATTGATATAGTACACCAGTTCCAAAAAGTATTAAGCCAAATTAAACTAAAGCGTGTCTAGCCAATCAATAAAAGCCAAAAGAACAACAATAACAAAAACTGTAACTACATCTATCAAATTTTAGCGTAACATACTAACATTTTTCGCTAAATGATATTCCTTCAACCACGCACCCTTATCTGCAAACTAATCGTTTCTCATATGTTTTTTACAAAACAAGAATTTCGAACTCATTGTTGTTCACTTTCATCATAAGATTTTCTTGTGCAAAACAATCTCCACACTACCTCATAGGAATCCAAAATGGGCGAATTTCATACGTTGAACCATAAAGTTCCAATGCCGAAACCCTGACTACCAGAAAGTTAATAGAGATCAGACAATAAAAAATGGAAGACTTGGCATTTAAACAATGGCTAAAGCCTCTGTTAGATTTGATGAATTGTTAATACCATGTTTCCACTGCTTACTTGTACAGGTAACTTAGAACTCGCACACGACCTTCGTAAGTAAATTTGATTAACCATACAAAGAGCTGCAGTGATTTTTAACTTGAAAATTAATCAAATTAAATTAGAACAAAAATATCGAATGCAACCCTTAAAAATAAATTTCCCACAAGGAAATTATTAAAATTTTAAATATGTGTCATATATTTTATATGGAAAATATAAACAAACAAAAGTTGAGCTATTAACAAACGTACTGAAAAAGTAGGTATAATATAATAATTATATATTTAATTTTTTAAGTTCAAAAACTTAATGGCCAAATTAAGAAAATCATGTCCTTTGTTTTCAAATCGAATGTTAAAAATTACATGCTCCAAATACCACTTTAATAAAACCGGAAAAATATTTTAAAAGTAGTACAAGTTTTCAAATTTTAATATTAAGAAATAACTGGAACTGTTATTAATTTAAAATAGAGTGAAAAATAACAATCCATATACCTAAAATCCACTAAAGCTAATAAAACTTCTTTATAGTTATAATAATCGATTTAGGACGACTCAGTCGGCCGTCCTAAACGTGATGCTACACCTGCTACCTATAGATCTCCACATCAAAAATATGGTTTGTAACAGCGCTGTTAGACTGAAACCAATAGGCGTCTGGACGGAACGAACATATGGACATGGTCGAATTCTAGGTACAGTTCCAAACTGTCTGTATATGATGACATCGGATTATCTGAAACTGTGCATAGATTTTAAAAGGATTTTCAGACAATACTCCCTTCAAGAATTAAATGGAAAAGGAAAAATTTAGAAGCAAACTAGAATATCTCAACATATACAGATGGTTCGAAAATGAAGTGTGGGGCAGAATTAGGGAGCTTCGCACCATAATTCTTTAATGCTATCTAATGAGGCTACGGTTTTTCAGGCTGAAATTCTAGCAATTAGAGAAGCCTGCCGGTAAATTGCAAGTCACATCGAGGACAGATGTAGTGTTGCTATTTTCATTGACAGACAGGCAGCAATCAAAGGCCTTGAATCTTTTACAACAAAATCAAAGATGATAAAGAAATGTAAAGAAGCAATTGACTAGCTAAATCGGTTGGTTGATATCACCCTCATCTGGGTTCCTGGACATAGGAATATTGTGGGGAATTAGAAAGCTGACAGTTTAGCCTGCTCTGGTGCCTCCCTGGATGTATCACTGGCAGTACCGGTTTATATTACCCTAGGGACTATTAAGAAAAGTACCTTCCTCTACTTTCTGCAAATGGCCAATAATAAATGAAAAGCACTTAAGTCATGTGTGACTTCTAGGTTAACATGGTCAACATATCATAAACATAGATCCTCGGAACTCATCAAAACAGACCGCGTGAACTTATATTTTTTTTTATCAATAAATAATAAATGTTTGCTATATGCCGTTCGTAAATACCTAACCTAATTGCTTAGAGCTAAAACTGAAACTTTTGTGGAAGAGAGGGTATAGATACCTATATTTAGAATTTTCTAAAATTCAGGTGTCCAAAAAAAGTTTAGTCCAAAAAAGTTTTAATAAAAAAGCCTTAATAACTTGAAAACGATACATTAAAATTATATAATATGATTCTATATCAGTATTCAGTTTATTAAATATAATTTCAACTAAAGAAAAAGCTGAAGAAGTAAGAAAGCTTCAGAAACTATGGTAGTTAATATTTTATTTGTTGAAATATGGTGCAATCATGTCCGATGCAGGAAACTCCATTTACAACAAAATTTTTGTAACAACTTGTTTGGCATCATATATCTCGATAAACATTAAATATGGACACATATCAACCTCATCCCTCTTGCGGTCGACTTTATTTATTTATTAGATCAAAAAATTAGATCAGAATTTTAAGTGAGTTACATAGAAAACTCGAAAAATATATATACCTAATTGAGTATTACTAAGATTACTTGTCTGTTTTTTTAAAGTAATAGAGTCAATTAAAATTTTTCTTGGAATATAACTTTAGAGGGGTCAGGGTCAGTAAGATCCTTATATTTTTTTAGTTCATATTACTGTAAATATTGAAGTCTTACTATATTATTGTATTATTTTTTATTATATAGTTATTATATAGTATATTATTAATACAATATGTATTTATTTTATAAATAGCTTTACAAGATATTTTAAAACTTTAACCCATTGCAAAAAAATTGAAAAGTTATCTGATTGGTGTTAGAAACATTAGTTCGAGGAGTGCCGACATAGTATATCATATAAAACTTCCGATTATAATTTTTTTTAATGTAACACCTTAATATTTAAGTTCAAATGCGGTTTGATGTACAAGAAGGCCACCACCTAACACCTTAGGGATATATATAGAAATTATTACAATTATTTAATTGCTTTACATTTTTTGCGACTTAATAAAAGATAATTATGAAATATTTTTTTAACATTTTTATACTTAAGTAAATACTGTAAATATAATTTCACACAGAATTCGTTATGGCAAATCCAATTTGACTTGAACGAATTCAACTGTCCACCACAATCGCATGCATGAAGGCCAAATCTAATTCCAGGTGCAGTGAAATAAACAGATTTATGAGATTTGTACCAGAAGAAATGTAGGGATGAAATACGAAAAACTACAAAAGAACATATTTATTGGGTTGAAGGAAAAAATATCGAATTACCGCGTTGTCCTTACACAATTTCGTTGAAAACTATGAAACGCCTGTGGATGTGTGTATGTTTGCTATAGTGCTGTGTAAACATAAGGAGCGTTGCAAATTGAATTTATGCGGCTTGTTAGAATGCAATTAGCTGCAAGGCACATTTTCATTTTACTGATTTGCAGGGATGCTAACAAAATAATAAGTAACATTACATTCCTTGGTTGATAGAACGTCATGAATATTTGATTTAATTATAGGACAAAAAAAAATGAATTTTGGCTCATTTTAAATTGTTTACAATACAACAACATAAAAAAAGTAACATTTTTAGTAGTAAAATTGAATGCACATTTGCGAAAATTCAATCGAATTTAGCAATTTTAAACACTAAGTGCAAAAATGATAGAAAAAAATTAATGAAATTACTGTATACACACTAAGGGGTCCTTTTAGTGTTACAAATAAAGAGTGCTGCTTCAATTTCTTTACAGAAATCGAATGAATGTATTTATATCATTGAAGTGTGTATAATCATTTTAAATATACAAGTGAAACATAATTAATTTAAATTTTAAGTCTAGAAGTTTGTTCTTATTATTAATCTCTTTACAATATTACAGTTTTAAAACTAAAGACAATTTTGCAGTTTTCTTAAATATCTAACAATAATTAGAATAAAAATTCTTATAATATTTTTAAATCTGTGTTACACATATATACAAATTACTTATAAGATTATATTGTATTATTAAGATAGAAAGAAGGTGACATATATTTAAAAAAGTTAGATCAAAATAATTAGATACTTATTTTAAAATTAGTGCACATAACATATAAGTACTTCCTTAAAATTATACAAAATAATATATATATTGAATTTAGCAGCAAAAATTTGAAATAAAATACATTTAGATAATAAAGAAATAATAGTATTTTATAAAAATTACAAAAAAAAAAATAAGTATATACTTCATAAATTTAAATAAAAAAAATTAGGAATAAAAATAATAAATATATCTTAAAGATTTACACATACTTTTTACATTAATACTAAAAACATAAAATGACACAAAAAAAAAAATATAGTTATTAATTAGTCACATCTAACAAATTCTACTTCTTCCAGATAGAGTGGATCTGTTTCTTCCTCGCTTGAAGAGGTAGGTATATTAATTATCGGTACCAATTTATTATCTATTGATATTCTAGTTACGCTGTGTAATGCTTCGTTGGATGTTATCCGCAATTTCAGACCGCTCGAACTACGCGGCGTAACAACCAGTGTTTTCTTAGTTGCATATGATTTTGTTGACACATTGGTTTTGGGTCGTTTTGAACGTGAACTTCGGGGTTTACGCTTATAATCATCAAATGAATCAGTTGAGGATGAAGATGTTGGACGAAATCGTATAGCAGCACAAGTGCGACGACTTCGTTTCATGCCTATTTGTGATACTTCCACAGTCGTTGCATTACAAACAGTTTTACTTTCTTCAGTTTCAATTGTTTCTACATTAAGAGTAAATATTTTTATAAGCCAATTAATTATTTTTTATTATAATTCAAAATTACCTTTTATTTGACTTTTAAGCTTTTCCGTTAAGAACTTTTCATAGTTTAAAGGTTTTAGTAACACTTTTGGATTATTTAGTTTTGCATCTAATACAGCAGACACTGTTAATCTTTGTAAATTCACTTTTACTTGACGCTCTAGACATTCTTTTTTAAGTATCTCTAAACGATCGTATTCTGTAATTAACTTGACGTTCATCTCTATGTTTTTGTGTACACCTTTAGGTTGTTCTTCATTACTGTGATTATCATACAGATTTATCAAAGCGTCATTATTGGTTTTAGACTCCTAAAAAAAATTTTTATTTATTAGAAAAATAATATTTTTAAACAGTAAAAATTCGGTTGAGCAGATACTCATTATGAGCCAACTTTTAGTCGCTCAAGACGTGTCCCAAACCAAAAGGAATTAGTTGTGCTTAATATTATTCAAAACAAAGAAGTCTGGTATTAGAAAAATTATCCACTTAAAAGAAATTTTATATAAAATGATAAAAGTTTTCTTAAACGAACTTTCCTTTCCTGTTTCGAAAAGATATGTGCAAAACATTTCTAGTGAGCGGAAGTGTTTTCAAGCCGGTCTCCAAAAATTGTAAAATTCACAGTCTTGAAATTATTTACAATAAGTATTTTTGTTAAATATAAAAACACAAAAAAAAAATTTTTTTTCGATTAAAAAGCAATTCCAAAAATGAAAAGTGCATACAATAATAATTTGAAAATAGCGCGCTATTTCAAATTTTTGTTTATTTTATTTTTGCACTACTTAATCTTAAATACTCAAATAGCTGACGGACGCAATAAGTTAATCTTACAGCAAATGAGTAATTGAGATCCTCACCTAGAGAGAAGACATACGATAAGCCTCCCAAATAAACGGAATGGTTATCTGATGCTAAACGCATCAAACACGTACCTCTTAAAAACTGTAAAAACTGATAAAAACTTACCAAACATTGTGTCTCAGCAGCGTCGTTTGGAATTTCTGACTTAAAATAAAATTTAAATTTAAAATTTAAATAAATCTAAAATTTAAAAATTAAATTTAAATCCAAACAGACATGGAATGCTATGTCAATATTATACGAAAACTTAGTCCTCAAAAAGGCAATTTAAGAGGTGCTAAAATAAATAAAACTAACAAAGATAGTGCATTCACAAACATATTTTCTGGTAATAGATTTACCGAACTAGCTGGATCTATAGAAAAAGCTCTCCAACCTATCTACTCTTGTTACACTACTTGCACGTATGATTGGTAACAATTCTCTTCATATTGTTCGTTAACCCGGAGCAATTTGTGTGAAACCAAAATTCAAATTGACATCGAAAATAATTTAAGGGTAATTACTATATATATTTCGATGACAGCAAGAAAAATATCTACACATACCAACTGAAGAGTAGCAAAGATCTTGTTGTCGTTATTAAAGGTATTGAGTCAGATGTCCATCGAGATCACATATGTCTCATAGATCACATATCGAGGCTTTAGAGCTAGAGCAGTTATACATATTGTTAATAAAGATAAAATCCCACAAATCATATTTAAAGTTGAACTTCACCCGAAATCTTCTAAGTTTAAAAAAAATGAGAGCCATCCCATATACAACAAATGTTTTTATCTAATAAATGAGTACTTTAAAAATTTGTACATGGAATGCAAACGGCTTAAGCCAATATAAAATTGAACTCACAAACTTAACATCCCGGTGTGGATGTAATGCTTTACTCAGAAACACATCCAATAAAACAAAATTGTTTTCTATTCCTGGTTATTTATTCAATAAAACCAATCACCCTGATGGAAAGCATATAGTGGTACAGATATTTTGGTACGAAGACGTCTAAAACACAATTTTCTAGGTACATATATTCAGAATTATATGCAAGCCATATATATGCACTAGACGTAATCTCTCCTGAGCAGCCAATATATCGGCCTGCAGATAAAAATAAAATATCAGACTTAATAGACTTCCCCGTGATCAAAGGCATAAGCAGAAATTTTATCTCAACATACACAAGCTGCGATTTTTTTTCTGGCTATTCTCCAGTTATATTTTGTTTACTTGATGGTTCTCAGTTACATAATTGTTCCTATAGCCTTACAAGTCCTAGAACAAACTGGCTAAAATATAAAAAGTAAATTAGTTCACACATACACACAAATTACAAGATAAAGAACAAATCTAATATTAAGGACGCAACCTCGGTTTAAAACTCTATTCTGATTTGAGCAACAGAAAACTCCACCCCTAAAGGCAACAAAGTTTACACATCCAATAAAGAACTTACAAATAGTAACAAAGACACTTTAGTTTTAGGTTATGGCGGCTGGCAAAAGTGTGGGTTCCTTTCAGCGAAAATTTTATTCAAGAATGCCCAAAGAAGACTTAGATCTGCATTAAGTAGGGAAACGAAAGTCAGGCAATATAATTATATACACAACATATGTCCAAACGGCAAAAACATTCATCCTTGTGGAATGTTAGCAGAGACTCTCCAATAAGAAACTCTCTCGGAACCTGGGCGTGAAGCAATGACGAAAAATCTAACGTATGTGCTGATTACCTAAAAGAGGTGTTCCAACCAAATCCTGCAACAGGACATTATGACTTTCCCACTCAGCGTCTACCACATTAATATCACGACCAATGATCATATTCAAATAATCACCAACAAATTAGATTTCAAAAAGGTACCGGGATATGCTAACATCTCACGCATCATGATAAAAAAACTTACCCATTTTGGCCTTCAATTTTATCACATGACTTTTTAATGCCATTATTAAATTTGGCTTTTACTTAACAGAATGGAAAACATCCATGATTATTATGATTCATAAATCAGGTCAAGATCCCACTGCTTTTAAAGCTGAAACCATTCCTTAACGGTCAAAACCTAATACCCTCCCACCAGTTTGGTTTTATGAAAACGCATGGAACTATTGAGTAAGTGAATCGCTCATATATAAGATACGCTGCCTAGTACCAACAAACGTCGACTCAGCTTTAGAATCGTATCTATAGAACAGAAGTTTTAAAATCAAATGTATGAGACGCCTTGCTCCCATCTCATAAATAAACAGGAGTAGCAATTGATGCGTGTTAAAAACTACTTTATTTTGAAGATGTCTTCATCGAAACGGAAAATTAAGCATGTATAAATTATTGGAATTATTAATATAGTAGATGAAATTAAGCAATCCAAACTGTATGCATATATGAAAAAGAATATTCTTAAGAATTACAGGATTATTTCCAAATTACTACTACTACTTTTTTTTATTGTATTTTTATCTGTAAAATATATATAATGTTATAATTGTTTTAAAACTTACCACATCTTCTATAGGTTGGTTCATGTCATCAGGCTTTTCTGTATTTGAGATCATTAATTCTTGATATTTACTTATATTCAGACGGTTCGAGTTTTTGGCATTTTCGCACGAATTTTTATTAATACTTTCATTTTCAATAGCAGCAGTTTTATGTTCACTATTTCTAAATGACATAGGCTTTTTAGTATGAATCTGTTTTTGATTATTTTTTATATTCTCGTTTTCACTTATATTGTTATGTTTAGTATTGTTTGCATTATTAATTTCATCTGCAGGAAACAGATCAATACTCTTTATATTGTCGGTTTTATTGACAATCATTGTCACATGATCATTTGAAGTGTTATTATCATTGACGATATCATTTGCGGTGTCATTTTCATTATTACCGACAGCCGTACCATCACTTGTAAGGCTATTGTCCTTATTGACGGTTTCATCGTCATTCAAATCGTCACTTTTATTTACATTACTACTGTTATTACAATTATCATTACCAATTTTGCAGCCAATAACACTTTTGCTGTCATTAATAGTTTCATTATTGTTAACAGTAACTTTATTATTCACACTGACGTTATCATTAGCAGTGTAGTTATCATTGACAGTCTCATAGTTTTTACCAGGGTCACCGTCGTTGACATTATTAATGGAATTCAAAGTCGTTTCATCATTGGTATATGAATCTATTTTCTGATCAACAGTGTTTAATATTTCAGGAACTTCATCTATAGTTACATTGGGGATTTTATTTGCTACAACCAATTCAAGTTTCATATTAACTTCCTCCAAGTTAGTAGTAACATTTTTAGTTTTTCCAATTTCTGAAAGTTTTCTCTTTTTCCTCGTTGTAGCTTTTTCTAAATTTATATTTTTCGAATTCCTTTGCTCAGATTTAGTTTTATTCTCTTGAATAGAGTATTCATTTTCACAAAAGTTTTCATGTTGTGTGTTACATATGGTATTTTGTACAATTAGTCTTTTTTCTTCTAGAAATTCATATCCTTCGTTTGTCAAACTCCTACTCTTATTCTCATCAGACAGTGGTATGGATATGGCATGATTTTCCTGAACACATGTATGTTCATTTTCCTTTGAAGTAATGATATTCGCTTTTATATCATTTTCATTCAGGCACATAGATTGGATGCCATCTACTTTACTATCAGTAGATAACGTTTTTGTAGTTGTCAAAATTTGTACTAAAGTTTCCTGAGATTTATGTTTTATATTTTCTTCTTTTGAATTTTCTTCACATATAGTATCCTCACATATATTTTTATTGGCAACATTATGTTTATTTTTTGTTTTGTCTTTACTTTTAAATGATGCGATGGAATTTAGATTATCACAATTATTTACAGGAGAGGGTGTATATGACTTGCGGTTAAGAGTTTCATCTTCCAACATTACCTAAACAAAATAAAATAATTTAAATTAATACATAAATGAAATACAAAAAAAAAATAAATAATAAAAATGACACAAATAACCAATTTCGAAATTATTGAATGTGATAAAATAGTGAGGTCTGATTAGTGCTTAAATAAAGAAACAAAAATTACTTTAAAAAAATAAACTAAAACAAGCAAAAAAAAACGTTACAAATAATTTTAAACAAATTATAAATTTTATCAGAATATAACTTACCACTTTTTCTTCCCCCGTTAAACCACTAGGCAAACCTACAAATGTAAAGCATATATATAAAAATATCCAACTTAATTAAAAAAATGCGTTTAGAAGTCTAATGTTACGAATGAAACTTATTTTATATAAATAGTGATATATATATATATATGAATTAAAGTATATATAAATATAATTAATATAACAGAAGTAAAATAATAAATAATAAAATAAAAACAAATATAAATTAAATTATAAAATATATAAAAATAAATTTATATAATCATCGTAAATGTATATTTTGGTATATAAGAATAAATTAATATATAAATATGAATAATTCACAATATCATTTTTAAACATTTGTTTACTTTTAAAAAGTTTAAAGTTTTAGTTGACGATATGTAAATAAATAATCAATATCTATATTTCTTATTTTATTATACGTATCTATATATGATATAATATTTCAGTACATTAGATTACATATTAATATAATATGGAATGAAAACTCTGTTAAATGATCATCTTACACTCTTAAAAGTGCAAAGTTACAAAGTAGCTTCTTTTATATGGATAGTTCCCAGACAGAAAAATTTCACAAAAAATTATACATATATATTAAATTACGTATAAATATATTTTGTTATAAATAAATAATAAATAGTATACTTAAAATGACTATATTACAACCACTTCTCTATTCGAAAATAATTTGTTTTATAGACATTATTTAAATATAAAACAATTATATATAAATACCTATTATATTATAATTATGTATTTTTTTATAATAATACATCTTTTTATAATAGTATACTTTTTCATAACATTGTATAATATTATCTATAATATGCTATATATTATATATAGAAATATGTCGTTAAATATCAAGAAACAATTATATGATATATAACTACATATTTTTTATAATATACTTTTTTATAATAATGTAATATCTTTTAAATAATATATATATAATATTTTATAATAATATCAAGAAACCGATTTATGTACAATTAATTTTTTTTTATTCTTTATTAGTCTCTTGCTTTTTTTTTACCAATAGTAATTAAAAGTATAAATATAAAACCCTACCTATTTCTTCTAAAGATTGTGCATCCATTTCGCCAGATGTCGGTCTACTAGTGTTTGAATTTATAATAGATTCAGAAACTATATCTTTTTCATCTGTTAAATTAGGTGATGCCAACTTTAATTTTGTATCAACTGATGCATTGATATGTGAAATATTTTCCTTTTCTTCTTCGTTATCATTACTCGCCAACACATTATCTTCGGTATCTTTTAAAATAGATTCAACTGTAATATTTTCAGTTACTTGATCACTTAAGTCATTTATTTCGCTGTTTTGAATTTTTTCTAACGTAACCGATAGACAGGTCTTCACACTGTCGTTACTGTTAACAGTAACGGAGGTTTGGTCCGCATCCATCATTGATATGATTTTATCATTTGTTATTTCCATTTCTTTACAAATTTTGTCTCTGCTGCTGTTTTCCGTTTGTTTAAGTTTATTACTATCGTCGTTACCTACTTCATCAACTTCATGATTCTTTTGTTCTAGTGCTGCCTCTGAATTTAGCTTCTCTGTATTGTCAAGTGGATGACGTGATTCTTCTTTTTTGAGTTTTTTATTATCTAAATCAACTTCCTTCTCGCTCAATTTTTTCCTTTTACTAGCCTTCTTATATATGCACTCGTTATCTTGTGTATGGCTTTCTATTAGTTTTTTATCCTTATTTTTATGTGCTTCTAATGTAATACTGTGTTTCCGTTGTTTGCGTTTTCGTTTTTCTTTTTCACACGTTGTTATTTCTGCGTGAATTTTTGTTTCCATATTTATTGAATCACAATTTGTGGAAATATTTGAGTGCGTCGTTTTCTTCAGATCACCCAGTTTCTTAAAAATACTCAAAGCATTTTCGATTTCATTTGTAGCAATCGTTTCAGATTCGACTTTTTTCAATTCCAGATCATTAATATCCCAAACATCTAAAAATGATTTAAAGCCACTTGTATTATTACAAAATGCTGTGCGTTCTTTTAGTAGTTCTGTCAGATGATATATTTCAGTAAATTCCTCATCTTCTTCATCTTTAATAGTTGGCGGTTCTAATTTAACAACCATTTGTTGATCATTAAAAAAATCAAGTTGATGTAACTGATGAGGTGTTGAATCATTTGAGTCCTCATTTTCACTTTCAGAACCACTGGAATCATTATCTTTTTCTTCGCAAATCTCTTTATATGTTGAAGACGCTATCGCTGCCGCTGTACGGGCACGTGTTAGACGTGTGCCTACAGAGTAACTACTCAGCATATCCAAATGCTCTTGTTTTACTATAATGAATCAAATTAAAACTTTACACTTTCTAAATTTATATATTTTACACTTACTTTTCGCTCTTTGTTTATTTAGTTCAGCACATCTAGAACGATAATCATCGTAATCTTCAAAGTCTTCCTCATCAAGGAAATCATCATCACTTTCTGTAAGATCAGCTAAATTTGTAACATTTTCATAACCTCTTTCAATGCTACCATAATCCAATTGTGGACGATTTTTGTACTTATCATAATCAATTTTCAAAAACTTTAATCTGTCATTAGCTTCGGCCATACTCAGTTCAACTAAATGACGCTTATGTTCCGGACGTTTAGCCAAAAATCTACAACGCTGTTTTAATTCGTGCCAATCTAATGCCCACGAGAAACTACTATTACGTGGCACAAATATTACAGTTAATAAATCTTTGATTATTTTCTCTGGTAAACGAAAAGCACGTAATGCTCGATACAGTGGTTCATAGTCATCAATTGGTGCATCATGATTTACTATGTTGACTATTTCATTAACATCAATAGTTGAACTTAAGAGACCAAATTTCAAATCTGTCTCAGCCGTATTGCTTGGTTCGCTATTTAATCGTTTCTGCTTTTCTTGCTCCTCACTTATTCGTTTACTATTACGCATACCACAACGTGCAACAGCTTCACGATTCAAGTTATTGGGATCTAAATAGAACGCTGTTAACCAGAATTCCTGTTCCATAAATGGATGATCTTGAAATATTTTTGCTAAATCGGCATAATAACGTGAAAGATTTATTTCTAAATTTAACATAAATTCGGTTGTTAAACCAGGATGATATCTCCATTTCTCAATTTCATTGAGTTCATAACCAATAATTTTACATAAAAGTACAAGTTTAGCAAAGTGCCAACCTTTGTATTTCTGAAAATATAATAAGTTAAGCAAATATCAGAAATTAAGAAATAAAATAAAGGGAAGTAATAGAACACTCACTCTCATTGCTAAAATGTTGTACACGTAACGCAATATGTTAAGGTTATTGGGTAAATTCTGAAAAACAGGATCAACGCGTCTATGATTATCTTCTGCTTCCAATGTATCTTGTTCATCCTCATCGGAATTTTCACATTTGCTAATATTGCTCATACGATTACCCTTACAAATTTTACTTTTGAAGTCTGTTTCATAATTGACAGTGTAGTTAAGATTGTGGCTCGTTTTTTGCCACTCCTTTTTACGCATCTCTCCCAAAATAAAAAGTTCACTCTGTTCACGTTCTTTCACATAACTATTAAGTAAGCGTTTGAAAATTTCTAGATTGTTTTCAATATCCTCGTCATTTTTATTATTTATCTCCATTAGTAAATTTCCTAATATGTAGCTTATATACGCTTTACATATAGTACCGAAGAGCGTTGAAAGGCACACGTCGAACTTACCAATGATAGCTTCAAAAAACTCACTGCTACTTACATTTAAGTAAATACAAGTTGAGGCAATAAAACGAGCAGAAGTATGTTTTAGTTCCTTTGCATTATGTATGGATTTAGATGAAGCTTCTTGTATGCTTTGATGATAAAACCTAATATTGTTAATCTAAACAAATCGTGGTAGTTAAAGTTTTGTATTGAGATTTAAGTAAATTACTTACGATATTGTCGATGACAAATCCCTGCACGTTATCCATTTCATAGATGGTCATAAGGTGTATATGACATATATATATTAAAGCACGTTTTTCATCCGCATGCATATTTGCAATCATTTTTTTACGCTTTGAACTACTTAGACTCTCCACAATTCTATTCCAAGCAGATATAACACATATAGATATTTGTTTAACAGCTTCCATAGAACCAGCGTCAAGCAGTTTAATAAAGCGGAATAATATAAGCAGCACTCCCTCAGTTTTGACATAAGTAATATCTAAAATATAGGAAGATGTAAAATACATATATGATTTATAATATAAATATCAAATAAAACATACCCTCAGCAGTTGCTTGTGCTTGTATGCAATCTACTGACTCCCTAAGCGCCAATGGTCTTATATATTTTATATCAAAAAATTGATTTATATATTGATTATTCCAAGGTCCAGAATACAAATTTAAAATGTAATCCCAGTTTAATGCACAAAGGTTTGCCATTTTGGTTAAATATATATAACTTTTCCTAAATGTGTGCAACAGTAACTTTTGTCTTGCTGGTACACACTTATTCCATTCTTGACTAAACCATAAACTCAATGTATATTGTGTAAGACTAGTAGCAATTATTTTAAAGCTTGAAGTAATCTTTATCTGCTTGTCTTTTTGCAGCATCTCCGTAGCGTAATCATTGCATTTAATCCAACCGTATAGCAGCAAAGCAACTCGCTCATCGCCAATAACTGGATATACGTCGAGATCGGATTCTTTCATTATTAACACGTATTTGCGCTAAATTTTTAAAAAAATAATTTTTTATGGTAGAATTAATTTTTTTAAAGATAAAATGCATTTACTTACTGCAACAAATGGATCGAATCCTAAATCCTGTGCTGCTGCATAAAAGACTTCTTTTACCTGTTTTTCAGGTAATATGGCTTCCATATTATTTTAATAAAGTTTTTTATAGTTAAATTAAAATACATTTAAATTATATTATACATATCTTAAATTGTTTATTGCAAAAACTCATCCGCACAATAATAAACAAAATTGCATTTATGTCAAAGCGCTATTGTTGGATTTTGACATATAATTGCGAAATTCGAAATTAGTGCTGCCAAATTCCTGAATAAAATGTGTAAAGTGCTTGATACTGTGGTATTTATTTTTGTTTACTGTAATAAAATAAATTAATATTTCGTTTTATGCATAAATATATTAACATCTAATTGATATTATTACTTTGTAATTTAAATTAATAATGCGAACATTATTATAAAGGTCCATACAAATAAAAATATTTAATATATAAATAAATTTTTTAATTTATTTTATATCTAATGTTAAATCATCCATTTTGAATATAAAAAAAATAATAATTAGAAAATTATAAAAGCGAAACATATATTTTTAATCAGACGAGTTCTTACGTTAAACCTATAGTTTTTTCGATAACCGGAAATTATTCATCGTAAGTGGTTTACTAGTGGCTACATTTACTTGTTTGATTTTCCGCATTTAATTTAGGAATGTAAATATAATTGTTATTTTAAGATTTATTTTAATTAATACTACGTTCAGACAGCCATAATTCATTAATTTCTTTAAAATGATATTAAGTTAATTTGGAAAGTGTTCATACAATTCGAATGTTAAAAATTACATGTTCAAAGCATAATTTGTTCTGGAAAATTAAAAAATTGATTATTATTCTATTAGCTTTATAGTACATTCACATTGTCTCATATAGGCGGTTTTACTCATTATAATCACTAAGTTGGATGATTTGCCATACAAATTGGTTTCATATAAATGAGCTCATTTTAGATCTAAAATGTCAAATGCAACCCTTAAAATGATCAGAATTTAAAGTATATGTCATATATTTTAAAATAAAATGTAAACAAACAACAGCTGAGTTGTAAACAAGCTCACTGAGGAAGTAATTATTTAATAAAATCTTTGTTTTTATTAATTCAACAAGTAATTGATATATAAAATTTGTATAAGTAATTTAATATGTCAATTATATATTTAATTTTTTGTGTGATATGTTATTATGTAAAGTTTATTCATTCCAGATGGATGAAATTAAGGTTTTTGTTTTCATAAATTAAATATGCAATAGATATTTAAATAATTCATTTAGGATTTCATTAAAACAAATATTATTTAAGACACAAAAAATGAAGAGAAGCAGAAACGCATGGTCGGAAAGTCCCATGAAGGTTTAGGTATGTATTTCTTAATTGAAATTGAAAAATACAATAATAATTTGTGCATTAAAACTGTTTTGATTTTTATTATATATACGTAACTTTCATATAATCATATATGATTTTTGTTTTAAAAAGATTTGAATGCAAAATTTTGTTAATTTTTTTTTTCTATTTTTATTAAGTTTCTGTTAATCACTTTAATTTGCTTGTTTGTTTATTTTAAATCAGGAAAGACCAGCAATGTGTTGGAGCTTTTGAAGGGGCGCATCCAACTAGAAGTATTTCTACATATTAAAAAGATGTCGGAATAATTTGTTTAAACATTAGTGTGGAATTAGTACGCAAAAGTATTTCAATTGAGTTTTTACAAATTTATTTAAGTTCTTCCAAATAATGAATGTGATTAAGAATCAAAAATCTTGGTATTAATATGATGAAACGTTGGTGTAAAATTTCCATAATCATCATCTTCACTTTCATCAGCAAATTCGAAATCCACTGATTGTACAACGTCTGCAAAAAAAAAAAGAAAAAAAGATAATATAAATAAAACTCTTTTGGAACAATTTCAGAATCTGACGGATGTGGAGAACCGTCATATCGAGCTGCAGCAACATACAGAAGCAAGCAATGTTGCTTTGTCGAGTATCGTGTCATCAATGAAAAGAGGTTATATATAATTTATAATTATTATTATATGAAATATTTTCTAAAACGAATAAAAATAAGGTTTAATCTAGAGTTAACCTAAGGAGAAATGTCGTTAATCCTCACAGCAAGACAACAGAGTTTTCAATCGAGACAGCCGTGTTATTTTATTTTCGAAGTGTGGAGTTGATAAACAAGCTTAGATATTACAATAAATTTAGTTTTCAGCCACTTCTTCAGCGTTAAACAAAACAAAATCGTACAATGTATTAATTAAAAATTTAATGCTGTTAATATTCTCTAGACGTTAGTGAACATGATCAGCGTATTGCATTATTTAACTGATCATATTATCACAGCTGGTTGATATTCGCTTTAGAACGAAGACTATGTTTAGATAAAGTTTAAATTAACAAAATCCATTAATAATTTTATTAACTTTCCAAAACATTTCTCTTCGTTTTTCACATTTCTTATAAATTTTAAATATGAATTAAGATAAGTTTATAGTAAATAAGTGACATAGATTATTAATAATTTGTCATATTAATAATATAAAATATTGAAACCACAGATATTGAAAAATTGAGTTCTAAAATTTTACAAATATAAAATTAAAAATACTTAATAGTATGTACTAAAATAATTCAAGTTTTTAAGAGATACGAATTAGAGCATGAAGGCACAAGCTATCCGTTTAAAATGATGAAAGTGATTTAAATGTACGCGAGAAATATAAGCGAAGCAAAACAACCTTTAAAATATAATGTCGAAACTATTTCTATTGAAAATATAATATACATCAATTTAGTTCATTTTTCTAAAATCTAACCTTTTTGGACACTTAAATAATGCTTTTAGTTAATTCAAGTCTCAAATTATAGTTTTCAATTGTTCGTAATCAATGAAAAAAAGAAATATTTGAAGTAGAGAAAGGTAAAAGTAATAAGAAGAGTGTTTTATTATTTTTTAAATTTAGTTGTTTAGAAACATAAGAATGTTTAGCTCATTAAAGGTAGAATTTAATTTTTGGTTTTTATTAAATTTTGAAGAAAAAAAAATAACATTGCATGCCTTTTTTAAGTCTTGTCTCGTTATGATTGTATTTTCAATGTATGCGTGCTTACAATATCGAACTGCAATTAGATATATACTGTAGCAATACGTGATCGGTTAACAACTTGGCAGCACTTTATGTTATGTTATTAAATAAACAGGTGATAATAGCTTGTAAACAAAAAATAATACAAACAAATGCTATGTAGAAATGTATTAATTTTGTTTTATGACACCCTACACTTGCGTAATATGGTGTGAGCATATTAAGTTAATAAAAACATTTGAAACGCTATAAAAAAGTCGTATAAACCATATACATATGTATATTTCAGATCAGTATTAAATAAACTAATTAGCTATACCCACCTAAATGTTAACATGTTAATTAATTTCTCTAACTTCATAAAATTCTTGGGATGAGATTTGTCATAAATCTAATTAGGCAAAGTAAGAAGTGGTCGAAATTATAATTACATGTTATGGTATATATGGTATATTTTGTAATTAAATCGTTAATAATTAATTTGTCACTAATATTTGTTAAAGTTTCGGCTAAGTCATAACATAATTTAACATAATTAACATAACATAGTTAACATAATTCTTATTCTTATAGCCGCTCAATTATATACATACATATTATTAAAGTATTTAAGGGCTTAATGACTGTATTGAGAGCGCCCCATTATTATTTTAATAAGCTTTAGATGCATCTCGACTTCAATGCTATACTTATGCAACGATTTATTAATCAATCCTGAAGTAAATTATTTATATTCAGTATATATTCAGTATATATTATTCAGTATTTAAGAACAATACATTACACATTTATTTGAATTTAACTTTTTATTGGTTGTTTATGGTGTTATGCTGATGCTATATATTTACAATATATGTATGTAGATATACAGAGTTTTATGACACCTTACATTAAATATAAACTAAATATTATATACAATAAATGATATTCCATTTTTTGTTATCTACTCACAATGAATGTAACACTGTTTTACATGTTTAACAAATTAATTAATGAGTAACTACTTCAATAGCAATAAATCAATTGCTACTGATAAGTATATTCGTAATCATAATTGATAAAAATGTATCAGACATTTATGACTCAATTTGTTGGGTATGAAGTACAACAGATGAACACCTTTGCTACATTTGCAGTGACTGGATAAAAAGTAATGATGTGGGTAGGAACAGTTTTTTCAAGCGGTTATATAAAGTTGAGAACAGTTCTGGAATAAATTGATATGGCGCCAGTTTTGTGAGATAATAAATTATAAATGGTTAAAGTATGATTAAAATTTTGTTTTATATTAATATGTTTCAAGCTAAAGTTGTATATATAAGATTTAATTCAACTAATTGATTTTGTATTTATGCAAATTAGTAGTCAGTTTATTGTCTCAGACATACTTAAGTGTAAGCCATACATACATATATGCAGAATTTATATTTATGAAAAAGGTTTCATAATTAAATGTTATTAGAAAACTGTTATGTTTCGACAACAGAAAAATAATTACAAATAAAATTTTTATTTTCCTAATATTTTTTTAAATTATTATTATTAAATGTTATGAAAAAAAGTTCATTTTACCCTACACTTTTAAAGGGTATACTCTCAGTTGTAGATGAATTATATACCTAGTTGTTTGAAAAATTTGCGGAGCCTACATGATAAAACAGTTTTTTCTATATCCCATAAAAAATTTCATATTTAAGATTTAGAAATCTTTATTTCAACTTAACGATATTTATCTTAATCTTTTTATAATATATGGTTCCTATCACTATAATTGTTTACTGTCGAATATGAAAATCATTTTTCACGTAAGACTTTTTTAATATGGGAGTCAATAGTGAAAGGTAGGTGGATAGGTAGAAATGTGCTTGACTGGGTTTTAAATAATTTAAGTAATACAAAAAAATTTTTATACTACAAACTCATGATAATAATATAATCCTCTGCGGAGTATTGTTCTTCGAAGAGGACTAAATCTGCGATAGGCTCCTTGTTGCAATAATTCATGTACATTGT